AAAACAACAAAATTTAACGAATTGATGACTAAAAATATTCTAAAGACACGCGTTCGTCCCCAGTTCGTCCTACAACGCTTCGAACCTAACGAACGCTCGCAGTTCGCACCTACCGTAACCCCCTCATGCTCTTCATTCCAAACCCATTATACCATGTAATAACAAGCAATTTAACCTCCTAATCCCACCAATCTCATCCCAAATCACCATAAAAATGCAAAAATACCCGAAAACACATTCCATCAACCCATAAAACTGAAAAAAATTCCATTTTTCCAGCAGATTCGTAAAAATTTCCACAATTTTCAATCGAAAAAACCAATTTTCCGGGTAATTCACTGCAGGGAGCGGGCGGAAACCCTCAAAAATTCATTCCATCACCCAATAATAATAATAATAAAATCATAAAAGCCATTTTATTCACATTCGCTGCAATTTGGGTGCGGAAAAAGAAACGGAGACGATAGTAGAGACATTTTGAGATGGGTTGTTGCGTTCAATATTAACAAATATTAATAATAATAATAAATAATAATATTAATAATAACAAATAATAATAATAATAACAAATAATAATAATAATAATAAACATAACAAATAATAATAAATAATGAAACCAAAACAGAACCGAACATCAATAGATCCACTATGAATATGGGCTTGCTGTCGGGAATATTCCTTCAAATGATCATCATAAAANCATCATAAAAAATCACAATCCCGTGATCACTTGATCACATTTATAACCTCAACTATCTCAAATCACAATAAATAATATCCCAAATATCCCAGATTTATAATATCCCAATGATCACAATCTGCTGATCACTTTTAAATGATCATAATAAAATCTACTCATTATGAAGAATCTCGTTAAATACTTTGCAGAGTATCTATCGTAAAGGTTTTATCAGCTGATAAAGAGCATGATACGTTACTGTATAATAGAGTTACTATAATACAGTTACTTTATAACATTACTGTAATACAGTTACTGCACACAATAATACTGTATAATGTTTTTATGCCGTACGGAATGAAAACCATCCGAACCGAACAGAAAGCAGCATGAAAATGAAGCGAAATAACGGAAAGTTAAAGTAAAGTGAATTCGCGGAATTTCACTCGTTACAGTGATAGCGGAAGCAATAATAATAATAATAAATAATAACAAATAATAAATAATAATAACAATGAATAATAATAATAAATAATAATAAATAATAATAACAAAACACAACAGTGACAATTTAGAGATACTAAATAAACATAACAGCCAAATATTTTTAAGCGTACTAACAAATACATGCAATTAGATCCATATGACGTTAATTAAGTATTAATAATAAATATTAAATGATATATATCAATAATAATA